CTCTCTCTCTCTCTCTCTCGGAGACCCAGCATAGTACATTGCTGACTTTCACTTCTAAAGCTGTGAATGATGCAGACCTGAGTGGTGGTCTCTCATCACCTCCCTCCCAAAAGCTACAGGGGAGCCTGGGAGCCTGCCCCCAACACCCAGCTGCATCATGACATAGTTCCTAACCATCTCTTCTCTCATCAAATTCTTCCCCTGAATCACAGAGGTATATGGCTGAGGTGAAAGTAGACAGCCTGGAAGCTGGTAGGGATGGAGGACCAAAGAGGGAACATTGGGGGAGGGGGAGGGCTTTAGAGCCTCACTCCACCATCAAAGCTACAGACAAAGCAGGGTTTGGGAAGGTATATCTGTTTGAAATAAGGAGTGGGGAGGAGCAAGTTAACCTTAGAATGAACATCTCCTCATCTCTAGCCCAAACCTTTGAGTGACTTAGACTGGAATTCCCCAATGGCAGTATGGAGCCAAGCCTCTCTGACTGCCAAGCACCTGGCTGTCCACTCCAGGCTTGCCATTAGCCATATCCCCAGTCACCCTCTTTGAACCAGAGGCCACCTGTCCTGTTCCTATTATCCCTCCAGTGCCTCTCCATGTGTTCAAATACATCTCTCCTCTAGACCTGACCAACGGCTACCCCTTCTATGAATCCCATCAGAATGACACACTCCATGCTGTGCAGAGTCCAGGATGAGCCTTGGGGAACACTACTGGGCATGGGTCCCTGCACTTTCAGGGCAAAGGACCCCACTGTTATTCCAGCTTCAGCAACAGAAGCTCAACCAGGAGCCTGCTGGAGGGCAAAGCTCTGACACCAAGATGCCTGGCATGCTTAGCATAAAGTGGAGGCAAGGCCTGGCTTCCTAGGCACTCCTCTAAGAATACAACCCTGCTCACAGGAGGCACTCCATAGCTGACAGCTTGAGAGGCTGGGCCAGAGAGAGCAGCCCAGATCCTACAAGCCTCCAGCACAGCACAAACAGTCCCAGGACCTACCAAGCAGGAGAGACTGTCCATCACCCAGGGGGAACCTCTGGTAGCGGGGCACGCTGACCGGAGGAACCAGGTGGAACTTGGGCTCCAGCAGCGGCTCAAGCCGTGAGGCGGAAGGGTCAGCGCAGTGGAAGAAGCTGTAGACCTGGCTGCAGGCAGGACGCATCTGTAAACCTGTGGCGGGTGGGAAAACATATGCAGAAGTCCCTTTCTAGGATCTGCCTCCTTAGCCCTTAAAGGCTTTGTGGAATGCAGCTTTGATTAGCCTTCTCTCCTACTCAAGAACCTCCCCTAGCTCCTCGCTTCCCACAGACACAAAATGCCCAGTTTGTCATTCAAGATCTTGTCAATCTGCCCCACCCAGGGGTGCCATTGCAGATACCCAGCACTGCGGTGCTGGTGAGCAACTGCATGCCTATTGCTTTCCTTGCCCTCCCTGCCTTGGTTCAAGTGCTCCTTTCTTCAGACTCCAAGGCCCTCCCTTCACTATTTCTACTGCACAGCCTCTTTCAATTCCTCCAGCTCCTACTCACTTGCTACCTGATCTATTAAGCCAATCCAAGTTCCTCCAGTCAGGCCTATGACCCCTTGCTCAGGCCCCCAGGAAACCCCACAAACAACACTCAGTTCCTCTATCTACTGCTACGTTCAACAGAGAACAGAGCACTTCTCTTATTGACCAGCAGGCGTCTCCACTGAGAACCCTGCCTCCCAGTAGCTGCCTGTCACCTGGTCAGGGGCCTGGATGGTACAGCAGCATCCAGGGAGTCAGCCATAGGGACTCCTCTGCCACCCTGACAGTGGCTGTAAGTTCTGCCTCCCCTCGCTTCAGCCAGAGCCTCTGCTGTCCTCAGAGTCTCCACAAAAGCCCCTGCTGATCAAATGGTTTCACGTGTGTTTTGGAGAAACTGGAAAGAGCTTTAGGCTGGAGGCAGGGCAAAGGCAGCGATGCTCGTTTTGGAAGGGGGCTGGTGAGAACCATCTGGATGCAGGAGGCTTGCTTGGCACAGGGGGGTGTGACAGGATGAATGTTTGTGGTCTTTGTTCCCATGCGGCATGACTATAGGGATTGGGGCAAGTCATCCAGGGCACATAGCAGGGACAGAGAAGTCTGCGGTCCATCAAGCTACCTCACTTTGCTCCACATGGGGAAGGTGCCTTTTCCCCCTTCTCTCTTGTCCTCCAGCTTCTCTCATCTCTCTCCAGCTACCCTGCCTCCATCACTTTCCCCACACTCCCACTCCCCTTTACTTTGAGCCCCTGAGCTGTTGGCTTAGCTACAAACAGGATCTCAGGCCTTGGTCCATTCCATACCTACCATCTAGCCCAGGCAGAACTGTCTTTCGCATGGCCAGGACCAGGCCCAGGGGTGAGCCAAAGAGGAAGAAGTCAGAGACATCAAAGTCAAAGCGACCCAGGCTGACCTCAGGGACCTGGGGTGTACCAGCTGCAGGAACCTCAGCCTCATCCTTCAGCACACTGGAGTGGATGCTGCCAGAGGGAAGAAAGGTGGGAAAGAACAGATCAGGGGAGGACCAGCACCATGGGAGTGTCCACTCTGCAGCACAGATACATTCTGAGAGCACGATGCTCAACCCTCCACTGCACAGACCAATTGCTGACACTATCTACCTGAGCTGGTGACATGAGGCACTGGCCACTTAGGCCTGGCTAACATTTAGCTAGTGTAGATGTCAGCAAACTTTCTGCTCAGGGCCAGATGGTGAGTGTTTCAGACTTTGTGGGGCATCTGTGTCCATCACATGTTCTGGATTCTACCATGGAAACAGAAGAACAGCCACAGACAGTCTTAAGCAATCTGTGTGGCTAGGAGCTGCTAAACTTTTCTTCTAAAACCAGGCTGAGCACCTGAGAGCAACTGAGCATCCTGTGTGGGTAGGCCTGCTCTGTCATGCTGTCTACAACAGTCACTCAGAACTCATACACCATTTATAGGAGAAGCCCAGCCTGGCCAACATGCAGACCAGCTGGCTGGTACCTGTGCCACCAGCATCAGGGCTTTTGTCATAACTTGTGTTCCAACCAACCTGCAGACACAGGTGCAAGCAGCCTGGCTTCCCCACTCCTCTCTAGTCAATAGATGCCCCAGAGCTTCACCAGATGCTGCAGAGGACCCCACATTCCGGTCCCAAAGAGTCCAGGTTGTGTTTAACCACCAACTCAGGGCTGTGCTCTGAGAGTCAGCAGGAGCAATGGCCACCTCCCTGGCCTTTCTGAGAACACCAGGGACAACTTAAAGGTGAAAATATGGTAGAGGGATTGCAGGATATATCAATCAACTAAATTCAGCTAAAATATTTGAGTTGGAGGAGAAAAACTTTTCAAGGTAACAGTTGAAACACTGTGGGTGAGGGTTCCACCCTCAGTAGTGAGCCAGTGTGCAGAGAGCACCCTATTCTCACGCTGCCTTCTGCTCTCTGAGACAATGACAATGATGCTTAACCATGTACATTTCATGTACAGCATGGTCCCTAAACATGTGCCAATTACTTAATTGCCAAAGAAACAGCCATCTGTCCTGTACCAGAAGGAAATTCTGGCTGTGTTGGGTTTGCTATTGAAAGTCTCCAATGTCTGGATGCTCTCCAGACTTGGGCTTTTCTAAAGGATTTTTTAAGGGCGTACCAGAAATGTTGAGATTTTACCTTGCATGTGCCTGCTGTTCTGACAAACACATGCTGATATTCCATGCTTAAACATGCAGAACCTGTGGCCTACCATCACACCTTCAGGAACCATCCATAGGAAGTACAGGGGCTCCCACTCACCCATGAGGACACATCCCAAGGCCTCAATGGAAAGTGCCAAGCCCTGTGTATATAATGCTTTTTCCAATACTTAACATACTTGGGGTGAAGCCTAATGATTAGGCACAGTAAGAAAACAACTAAGGGGCTGGAGAGATGGTGCAGTGGTTAAGAGCAGTGTCTGCTCTTGCAGAAGACACGGGTTTGGTTCCCAGCACCCACATGGTGGCTAATAACCATCTATAATTCCAGTTACAGTAACTTAGACGCCCTCTTGTGATCTCCATAGGCACTGCACGACACAGGTGCACCTACCTACATGCAGGCAATACACTTATACACATAAAGTAAAAATAATAACTTTTTTATAAAGAAAACAATTAAGAATAAAATATAAAAATTACAACATTTTTGGTCTTTTTGAGACAGGGTCTCCCTGTAGACCCAGCTGGCCTGGAACTTGCTATGTAGACCAGGCTGGCCTTGAACTCACAGAGATCTACCTGCCTCTGCCTCCCAAGTGCTGGGATTAAAGGCGTGAGCCACCACGCCCGGCCTAAAAATAACATATTTTAATAAAAGCCATATGTATGTCTTTTGCAAAATATTGTAATTTCACATTTTCACCTAACAAGGACATGTCACAGCTTCTCTTTGTCATATGTGAATTGCCAGCATCATTACTCTTGTACTTTGGGACCATTACTAAGTAAAACAAAGGTCACGTGGGCACAAGCACTTATAGCACCATGACAGTGGACCTGAAATGGCTGCCAAGTGACCAACAGGTGAGTAGCATGTACAGAGTAGAAGCACTGGAATGATTTGTGTTCAGGGCAACACATGAGACTTCATCATATTACTCAGAAGATGCACAACTTAAAATTTAGAGCTGGTTTAGTTCTGGAATTTTCTATTTAATATTTTTAAACCATAGTTTATCATAACTAAAACCATAGGATACAAAACTGTGGATAAGACAAGACTACTACAAGCTTAATACATACATAAATGTTTATGCACAAAGGTGTCCAAAATAGGGGCTGGACAGATGGCTCAGTAGTTAAGAGTACTTGCTGCTCTTGCAGATGACTTGAGTTCAGTTCCCAGCACTCATGTCAGGCAGCTCACATCCACCTGTAACTAGGGGATCCGACACACTCTCTGGCCTCTGGGGGTACTTGCACACACATATGCATATATGCACGCAGGTGTGCGCACGCGCACACGCACACACACACACAAAATAAATCTTTTTCTTAAAAAAGATCCTTAGAGTAGTGCTTTTTAAAACAGAATTGGAAAAATACAAAGTATCCAGTTAGTACATTAAAGAAGCTGTCATCTATGCACCCAAACTTATAATTCCATTAAGAATATTTATCAAGTATCTTTAATTATATGGAGGAAAGATCACAATGTAGGAAGCTTTGGGGTTCTTCTTCTTTCTTTCTTTTTTTTTTTTTTTTTTTTTTTTTGTAGCCCAGTTGTCCTGGAACTATGTAGACCAGGTTGGCCTTGAACTCACAGAGATCCCCCTGCCTCTGCTTCCCAAGTGCTGGGACTACAGGCGTGTGCCACCACGCCCAGCTTGGGGTTCTTTAATATATGTAAAGCATGTAAAAATACTCTAAAACGGGCTGGAGAATAGCTCAGCAGATAAGAGCACTGGCTGCTCTTAGAGGACCTGGTTTGATTCCCAGCACCCACATGGTGACTAACAACCGCCCTAACACCAGTTCCAGGACTTCTGACACCCTCTTCTGACCTCCGTGGACACTGCACAACACAGGCGCACTTACATACATGCATGAAATCCACTCATACACATAAAGTAATAATAAATAAATAAGTATGTAAAGCTTTAAAACATTACTAGTGGCTTCTCTGGGTGGTGGGATATCTTCTGGATGTTATGATGATCCCATGACAATCACTTAGGGAGGGAGAGGGTGATGGGGGGAGGGAAAGGAAAGGAGAGAATTGAAGAGAAAGGGCTCATTTCTCTCCTGAATCAACATGCAGGAGTTCATGTTCATTTAGCCTCTCACTATCTCTTCTAGAAAGTGAAAGGACAGTCTATGGAGTTTGTCATGTCCAAGACACTGAAGTGGGGACAAGGAGCACAGAATGCTGACCCCCCAGGTCTTCAGGACCTAGTGCTGTGACACCCCCTCCTCCTCTGAGAAGCAATAGAGAGGCATCCCTAGGGTGGCTCACCAAGCCTACCCCTGTCTGTGACTTCACTAGATTCTCTAAGGTACCCCAGGGCTGGGGGAGTGACTATGCAGCTCTACCCTTTTGCAGAAGAGAAAGCTGAGACCCATGATGTAGAGCAGATCATCCCCAGTTTCTGCAAGTTTGAACAAAACAGGGACAAGAAGCAGATTCCTTGGTCTGGATGAAGGTCCAATGACAAGTGGCCCTGGTCCCAGTATTTCCATGCTGCGTTTGAGCCCTGGTGGAAGGGCCTGGGATGGGTAGCTGGTCAGGGGCCTCCCTGGTGACTCTGAGCCAAGATCCGCATTCTCCTGGATACCATGGTGCGGCAAAGGCAGTGGAGGAGTTACCTTGAAAGGAAGGCATGATGCTGAGTGATAGCCTCGCAGTCATAGGTGGAGCAGTCACTCTGTTTCCGAGGCATTGGCCTCTTGGGCTCCTCATCCTCCACCCCACTGGAGACATCGATGTTGCTCTTGCTGAGCCGTTTGCTGCCAGCCAGATCACAGTCCTCCTCCACCACCATGGGGACGTCCTTCAGCAGAAAGCACAGCCATCACAGGGGCCCAGGCCCTGCCTATTCCCTGGGCACAAAGGACACCCTTCTTCCTGCTATGCGGGAGTTACGCTTCCAAAAGGCACATGAGGGAATGTTAGGCACTGGCCATCTCTACAGCCACAGGAATGATCACCCAGTCAGGACACTGGAGAGCAGTCTAGGGAGCTAAACCCCAGTCCCTTTCCCCAACCCCAGAGCCTGTTTCCTGGTCTAGGCTAATGTGCTTTTGCTATTCCCATAAAAGCCTTTGTACCATGGATGCCATAGTGCCAACATGAAGGCCCAGCACTACCTCCCACGGGGGAGACTCCTGTCCCCTGGGCCTAGGGGAGGGCTCCCAGGGACACACCCTCCCTTGTCCCTCCACCTGGCCACACCTGGGTACTGCTGATGCTCCCCTTCCGGCTGCTGCTGCCAGGGCTGTCCCCTGAGGGCCCCGCACTGTAGCAGATGGCATCAAAAGCCAGGAGGCCGCCTACACAGTCCCCGATGAGACACACCTGCAGAGGCACAGCTGGGCTGCAGGCCTGCCTGCTACCACACTCTCACCCAACACCCAATCAGAGCAGGAGTGTGTTCCTATTGTAGAATAAGGATCCTGTCCTAAAGAGATGCTCAGAGTCCAAATGGGGGTATGAGGCTCATCTTGGGGGTAGATTTCCTTTGGGGGTCAGTTTTAGGTCAAAGGTGAAGCTATGCTTAAGAGTCAGACTGGCTAAAGATCAGCATAGACTCCAAAATCAGGACTGGGCTGGCCAGCCTGTTTTCCTGTTTGTAAAATGAGGGTACCCACCCACCAATCAACAGCCTCCTTCAATCTTGGGTGCTATAGTTCTAGAAGAACCTGCTTCAATCCTTGCAGCAGACCCTAGCCTGCCTTCCAGGCAGCAGCCAGCATGGGATGGGGAGGGCAGGCAGCCTTACCTGCCCACTGAAGCCAATCCCATCAGAGGACTTGAGGAATTCTCCATAGATATGGTTGGCTCGCTCAATGACAGTGGCAACAGCATCCTGGTACTGTGGGGAGGAGATGGCCAGCAGGGGAAGGGCGGCCAGGGGCACATGGTCCTGGCTGGTGCTGAGGCAGCCCTCGTCATAGCTGTAGGGGTTTAGGCTGCAGACAGGGGGCTCAAGGTCAGCCCAGCCAGGATCAAGCAGTGGGTGTTGTGGGGCTGAGGGCTTTTCTGAAGAGTGCACATGCTGGTGAGGCATCACACCCAGCTCCAGGGACTCTTAAGGACCCAGACTAGGCCCCATGAGACAAAGCAGACAATGGGGCAGGGGAAATGAAGACAGGAACCCAAGGTAGTGCTGATTTCCCACATGCCCAGCCTGAGCCAGCACATGGTATGGCACAGTCGTGCTGTCTTGCTCTGCTCTGCAAGGCTCCAAGGACACCCTGGTTCTAGAACAAGTCAGGTGAGAACCAGCTAATGTGGAGCAGGGTGTGGGAGTAGCATCACAGCAGACTTCCTGGAGAAGGAAGGAGCTGAACTAGACCTTCAAGGGAGGCTTTGAGAAACTGAGAAGGGAGTGGTAAGAGGATACCAGGCATAGAGGTCAGATGATAGCCCCAGTATGCAGGTAACATCCGGTTACATGTATGATGCTGCATTTTTTCTGTGCAGGGGATGGGTCCTGTGCTTCATTGGCTTTACAGAGAGGGCCAAGAGCCTTCCGTATAGTGCCACACTCCCAGAGGACACTGCATCCCTCCACCTCCCTACTAGGAACTTCTCCCTCTCTGTGCAGCTCAGACCCACCTGACACCAGCTTCCTAGCAGCCTTGCCATCCCTACCTGGATGGTCTCTGTTCCCTGGCACACCCAACCCTGATGTGTTGTTAGGAGGGACACAAGGAGTTTGGGACCCCTCCAGCCCTGCCCAGGGCCTCCCTTTCCCCTATATGCCAAACTCGAACTGACCTAGGGCCCAGAAGACCAACAGAAGCTAGGGCAGGTGACAGGGCTCAAGCACCCATAGCGGGTGGCAGAGTCCTAGTGGTGTGCAAAGCAGGTCCCATCAGCCATTCCTCATCTCCAAAGAACACAAATTAGAGGAAACAGGCCTCGATTACAGCCAGAGAAATTTTAATTAGCCAAGAAGGAGCTCCCTCCCAGCAGTAATTACGGATGATTAATGGACCCGGCAAGAGCTGCCTGGGGGAAAGGTAAGCTCCCTCCCGCCATCCCCTCAAATGGTCTGGCCATCCGTCTTCCCAGAGATACGGATGACACAGCTATGGAGGTCAGCTGTCATGGGGGTAGGTGAGAAGCAGGGGTCCTAAAATGGATTGTGAACCAGCAAGATTAACTCCAGGACTGCTGTGCTTATGAGGAACCAGAGCCTTGCCATTAGCTCGGTGGTTCCCAAATCCTGCTGCAGAACAGGCAGCAGCAGCAGCAAGGCCTTGTCTAAGACAGCAGATCCGGGGCCCAGCTTGCTCAGAGGCTCCAGAGGAGTCTATACAGCATGTATTATGACCCAGGTCATACCAGGGATTGGAGCGATTAGCCAGGCTGGGGAGCCACAGACCTAATCTGCTTCCTGCCTTCCATTTCTGATGGAGATCCACCTGAGTGCATCCTAGGAATAGGGAGACTCAGTCTCTGCACCCCATCCAGGGGGTGGAGAGGGGAAGGATGTGGCTTATGCTGTCTCCTGTGCCTCAGACCCATCCCACAGTAAAGCCCCTGGGCTCAGAGTCACATCTAACTGAGACTGAACACAAAAGTTCCCCTTCCATTGGGGCCTTGGGTATTCCCCACACATGGGAGAGAGCCTGGGGAAAGGGCTGGAAAGAAGGGACTCTGGCCAGGTCATGTGAGAAGGACTGGTGGTGGGAGAGAAGGGGAGGAGGAAAGCATCACACCTACTGGAAGTTCCCACCTCCAGCTTCAATCTCAGTAATTGGCTCAGGGCTCCAGGCTCTGCAGGCACACAAAGTCTTTTTTATTTTTTCAGATGATAAGAAAACAGGTGTCTGGGAACCTGGCTCAAGTCATCTCCCTTTACCTGGTTCAACAGGGACACCTGGGGTCACTGGATCCCTCAGGTCCTGGAACAGTGGGTAGAACACCTCCGTAAGACCCAGATCTCCCCATGGTTACTGATCTCTCAGTCTGTCCCTCACTTAGGTATCAGGGCCCACAGTAGAAGGGACTTGCTAGCACTTGCATGGAGGGAGGACCCCAGGGCTCAGCATATGCTTCTGTCACACTGTCCTTTCCCTCCCTACTCCCACCAGCCTGGGTCTCTTCTGGGAACTAGAAAAGTAACCTTCTTAGCCCACTCTCCACCAACTAGAGACAGGTTAAGAACCCCCCACAACCAGGAGGATGTCAGTGCCAGCAGCTCCTGTGTGATCACCTCCCATGTGCTGCAATGAATTTACAGCTGCCTACACACCGGCAAACTCAACCTCCAGAAAGCAGTCAAGACCATTATCATCCCCATTGTACAGATAGGGGAACTGAGGCAGAGAGGTGAAACAACTCCCCAATGCCACACAGCCAGAGTTCAAGTCCAGAGTGACTCAAGAGGCCTCACACTTAGCCATGTTATTGCTCTAATCACCTTCTCTAGGGCATCTCCCTCAGCTCTGAGTGCTTACAGTGCCTCGGACCCCTCCATTAGATCACCTATCCCTACAGGGCTGTACTCGGAAGTGAGGCTGCCTTGGTGTGACTCCTGGCTCCATTCTCTGGGTAACTGGGAGAGGTTGTTGAACTCTCAAGACCTCAGTTTCCTGTTGTGTGCCAACTAAAGCACAGGAAGTGGGTCTGAGCTAGCATGGGCCCCAAGCAGAGGACTCTTGTTGACCATCTCCCAACAGGACTCCCTCAGCAATCGTGACCTTATACCAGACGCCTGGGCAGGTGCCCCCATAGCAGGGGGAGCCCCTTCACTTAACTCCCACACCAACCCAGACGATGCAAACACACTGAAATGACTCACTTAGAGACGAGCGAGAAAGCCTCCGAGCAGACAGCAGGACAAGGGACGAACTTGATGAGGATGTGGCCCAGAGCAGCAGGGAAGTGGGCACGCATGACCTTCTCCAGCACAGAGCTGAAGGTGTGGATGTCGGCTGCCTTGCAGGAAGGGTCGCCAGAGCCAGTGTCCAGCACATTGCCTCCATGCAGCACCAGCAGGAGGACGTGTGTCTTGCAGGAGCGCTGTGAGCAGCCTTCCTGAGAGGAACATGGCAGGGATAGAGATTGGCAGGCAACAGGAGCCAGGGACACACAAGGACACAAAGGGACTGTGGCCAAAGCTCCAAGTCTGGTGGCTAGTTCCACAGCCCCATTAAGACCTCTGGTGCATTTGGAGGGAGAGCAGCCTACAAGGAGGGCCAGACTCAGGAAGAGTCTAGAGAGACCCTTCTGGTACCTATGGGAGCATGAAGCCCAGAGAATGACAGGGACCTGGGGTGACACAGTAAGTTGAATGAAGAACAACATGAAAGCGAGGCAGCCTGTCTACCATCTTAGGGCTCTTCCTAAAATGCCAGCCACAGATGAACCAGATGCCTCAGAAACCCAGCACACCTCTCCATCTTCATGAATCTCGATGCTTCCCTGGGCTGGAAACCTCTGTCTTCTCAGGGACACCCGGTACAGTTCTCCTGCAGAAGGGACAGAGGGTGAATGTAGCAGGTTTCTACAGCAGGGGTACTCTCTAGACGCAGCTGGGCACATAGTAGAAATCATGACTTACTAGAAAGTTGGAGTTACAGTCTGGAGCTTGGGAGGGTCAGCCTGTCCAGGCCCCTGTCTCTGTATGACTGTATAACACAAAATGCTTTGCCCTGTTAAGGAAAGGAGGCCCAGCAGAAAGCACTCATCCAGATGAAGCAGGTGTCCTAGGAAGGAACCACCTGTTTTCTTCACCAGTAACATCAGCTGTGTGAGAATCATGGCATCTACTTCCAGCCTCGGACAGGAACTTGAGCCAAATGCCCCTTGGAGAGCTAGCATGATGGCCCATCTCACATTAGTGTGACCAAGCTAAGGGATACCCTGTGACTCCTGGGTGTGCCTGTGAGGGGCTTCCAGAAGGGTTTAAGCCTGGCATGAGAGGCTGAGTTGGAAAGTCTCAGCCCCTAGGGTGGGTGGGCACCATCCAATCTGCTGAAGGCCTGAACAGGACAAAAGCATTGGGATTGCCATGGTTTCAGCCCTGGGACATTGTGTTTTGGGGTCTCCACCTTCCAGCTAGGATAGAGATTTACACCCCTGGCTCTCCTGGTGCTCAGGCCACTGGGCTTGGACAGGAACTACACCACTGGCAGGCAGATCACAGGACTTCTAAGCCTATATCATTGTGCAAGCCCAGCCTGCATTAGAAAAATCTCATTTTTATTTTCCTTCTTTGTTTGGTTTTTGTTGCTGTTGTTGCTTTAGTGTGTGTGTGTGTGTGTGTGTGTGTGTGTGTGTGTGTTCACCCATGCAATGGTCAGAGGACAACTCATGAGAGTCAGTTTTCCTTCCCAGGATCAAAACTCAGGTTATCTAGTTTAGTGGTAAGTGCCTTTACCTGCTGAGCCATTTCGCCAGCTTGCTTTTTTTTTTTTTTTTTTTAAATATCTGATTGGGACTGAGAACATTTCTCAGCAGTAGAGTGTGGTTACCTAGTATGGACAAGGCCCTGAATTCCATCCCCAGCATCACAAATAAAATTATCAAATCAAATCTGGTTGAAGTTCTTAGATAGCAAGGCTTTGAAGATGGGCCCATGGTCCAGTGGAAGATGACTGCTCCAGGAGAAGTGGCCAGCACCTGAGATGACACTCAGTATCACCTACGAGCATTGGGGGTCACTCAGAAATCCTCTCCTCACTTCTGATAGCTGCCTAGCCCAATACCTCCTCTAGCATCCCCAAGCTCTCATTTCTCTAACATAGGGGTCTATAGCCAAGGATTAAATCCACCAATTGTTTTCGTAAAAAAAAAAAATTATTGGAACATGACCAGCTCATCCATTAATATAAGGTCTATGGCTGCTTTCATACCACGGCACTCAACTTTAATAGTGCCAACAGATTCACAGCCCTCAAAGCCTGAAATATTTACTATCTGGACTTTTCCAGAATAATGTGCCAACCCCTGATCTAACACTCATGGTCTGCATTATATCAGACTGAATCAGATTGTCATATGATGAGACACCCCACAGCTACCCTCTTCCCAAATAATGTCTGCCACCCCAAGAGTCCTTCCTTCATCCAACCCACCTTGCCTCCTCTCTTCTCTTCCCCCAGGAGATGTATACCTGGCCTGTGTGTGACTGAAACTCACAGCTCAAACATGCAGCACCTGTCTCTGTAGATAGGGAACTCATCTTCTCTCCCAAAAGCCCATTCTAAATGAGGACAAATGTTCCCCCCCTTTCATCCCTGGAGGGTTTATGGAAGTCCTTCCCATTTATCTGTGGGCATCCCTAGCTAACCTAGGTCTGGGTCAACATTTCTCAGCTCTGCTCAGCCTAGTTCAGGGAGAATGATCTGCAAAGAATTCCAGACAAAGAGCTGTTCTCGGTAGGGAAGTGCAGTTCTGAAATAGTCCAGTCCTCACAGATGCAACCCTGGGTAGGGGCAACTGCCTTATGACTGTGAGTGACTCCTGCACAGATGGAAATTGTTTCCTCAGTGATGGGGCAGTTTGGTTTTTATGAAGAGGACAAACTTCCCTGGGGCCTGGTTCTACCTGCTACTTTCCAACTCTCCTGCCAGTTGCTTAGGCCGATTATTTTTATGGTGTGCGTGTGTGTGTGTGTGTGTGTGTGTGTGTGTGTTTGGTGTGTGTGATATATGTACCTATGTACACACTCGTACACATGCTACAACAGTTATTTAAAAGTCAGGACAACCTCAAGTGTTGGTCCTCACCTTCTGCCTTGTCTGAGACAGGGTTGCCTGCAAGTTTCTGAAAATTCTCCTGTCTCTACCTCCCATCCCAAAGTAGGATCACTGGGCCTTACAAACATGCATGACACTGTGCCCAGCTTTATGTGGGTTCTGGGCATTGGAACTCAAGTCCTGACACATGCATGGTAAGTACTTTTCCCACTAAGCCATCTCCCCAAACTCTGCTTCTGGTTTTTGTTTTTGTTTTTATTGAGACAAGGTCTCCCTATGTGACCCAGGCCGACCTGGAATGCACCATCCTCCTGCATCTGCATCCTGGGTGCTAGGATTGAAAGTGTGTGCCACCCTTCCCCACAGCTCTCCTGCTTGTTTCTAACTATAAAAGACTTGGCCCTAGGCCTGGCTAGGGGAGGCCTGGGTTCTGCATTTAGAACAGGATGTCAAAAGACAACAGGAATGGGCCACTTCGTTGAGCCCTTATTAAGAGTCAGGCATTATGAGTTGATTTGTGTCATTTCATCTGGTTCTCCAAATTATCCTCAGAGTTTAGATGGCTCTTGTTCTGAGTCCCGTTTTATAGATGAGTAAACTGTGGTTCAAACCACTTGGGTCACTTGCCCCAGCTATATAACAAGACCCAAGGATCCCCGCTAGAGGGCCCTACCTCCACAGCTCATGGCTCAGCAAGAACCCGCCCCCTGCCCTTCTGAGCAGCAAACTCAGGCTGTTTCCCTCTGCAGAAGCAAGACAAGCATGGTAATGATTAAAGTCCAGGTCTGCTGCCCAAGCAGCCCATTTGTCACTAGGTAAAGAGTGTTGGGAAGGAAGCCAACACAAAGTAAAAAGTGGGCTTTGTGGCCACATAGCCTCTTGTACATCTGTGCAGCTCTAGGGCAGGTGTGTGGGAAGGAACCCAAAATATGGACGGGGTGAGGTCATGGTAGGAGGAGTCTGGGACACCTCCACCTTTGAGACTTAGGGATGTGGCCTCCAAAACCATGGGCTTTGGGACCAAGAAGCCTCAGTTCAAAACGTGACCCATGCTTCGGTTTCCACACCTGGAATATGGGAGTGCTATAGTAATAATAACTCCCTATAGTAATAATATAGAGCGGGGGTGAGGAGAACTAAGTTCCCACACATGAAGGGCTTTAGAACGCAGAATGTGAAGCCTGTGACAAGAGTTAGCTGCTATTATTTGCATTATCCAGGGGGGCGAGGCATAGCTGACAAGATGGGATGGAGGCTGATGGGGACATCACCACCTCCACACTCCCTGCCCTGCCGCCAAGTCCCTCCCTGAGCCCTGGCAGTCTCACCGGCCTTGCTGGGCTGGGTGCCTGCTTTCAGTGTGATTGCAGGATTAAATGCTGTGATTGCCACAAATTACCATCGTGAGGCTATAAATAACTTGCAGGGAAGACATGAGGGTCCTGTTGTCTCCCGGGCACCGTGCCCTCTGTTAGGTAGGGGCTGGATCCTGTGTCTTTGCTGGTAACACAGACCAAGGACCTCCCACAGCTTCCATCTGCCTGATGTCAGCTCCCTGGGGCCCACACAATGCTCCATGCATGGAATTGGTGGACACACATTGCATCTTGGCCACAGATGATGCTGAGGCGATTCCCGGCTCAGCAGGGATGAGAGATGCAGGCCAAAGACTGGGAAGGGGTATCTGCAGCATCACTTCCCACCCTTAAATCCCCCAAGCAAAAAGGAAGCACCTTACTCCCTCCACAGTTTGGGGACAGAGCTTTGCTCCCTTTAATACACAGAGCCATAGATACTACACTCTGAACCGGGGAGGCAGGGAGACCTCACCTGGCAGATGCTGACTGACCCCTAGAGAGTTTCTGTCAGGACCAGAGTCACTCACAGAACTGAACATCTCCAGTCTTACCAGAGGCCAAGGACAAGCAGGAAAGTAGCCTCAAAGCTGCCTATTCTCTTCCCACCAGGCTTTGCACTTTTTCTGTTTTGTTTTATTTATTTATATTTTTTGGACAAGATTTTACTATATATTCCAGGCTAGCTTCCAATTCTCAAGAGATATTCTAGGCTCAACTTTCTGAGTATGGGGATTATAAGCATGCACCACCACACCCAGCAAGGCTTTTAAGAACCAGGTATCCTCCCATAATAATCAGTCACTGACTCTGATTTTCCCACAATTCATTTCCATGGCTCATCACCTTTGGTTATCCTGAGTTTTCAGCTTGTGAGTCCTTCCCCCTTTTTATAAACCAGAGAACCCCTTATGTGTCCTACAAAACCTTGCTCGATGGCCACACCATCTGGAAAACCTCCTCAGATCTACCTAAATGAAGCTGGTTATCTCACAGCATGCTAAACAGGGCCTGGCCAACTATCCTAGAGCTGTTTGATTTTCCCATCAAACTTGAAAAGCAGACTTTATCAGCTTTCAGGGCCTGGAATTTTTGTGAAAACTTTGGAAGTGACAGTCTCATACTGCTTACAGCTACAAGACATCTTAGAGCTGCTAAAGCCCTAGGAGATACCAGGTTCAGGGAAGTCAATGCCAACCCCCCTTTCCCCTAGCATACCTCTCAGAACAATCCTCAGGGCAACTAGTATCTGAGATCCTCTAGGAATTCTAGAGTCCCCTGTCTCAAACTCTGTGGTCCTACCTTGAGAGAATTCTCCAGGGCTTCTGGTAACAAGAGAAGCCAGCAAGGGGTACTGCAGAGCCACCTGTGAGGGGCCCCAGGACCTGTAAACAAGCTACCTGCTTCTTCCTA